GGCCGGCCCGTCCGCGCTGCCATACCCGCAACAACCGCAAGGTCAGTACTCAGTCCGTCCGTACAGTAGTGATACAATATGTCAGCACGTACTCAAGTACCAATTTAAACAATATTACAAAACTCGTGTGCTTTTAAATCGACTACAAGAATTTGTAGATTTTTTTTGTTTTCAAAACACCTTATTGTATCATAGTTATATCATCAATGCGAAACTTTGTGAGTTCTTGTGTCTGTGTGTATGATTGTTACTCGGACCGGGTTGGCATTGGGAACTTGGATAGGGATAGATATGGTCTAGAATAACACTGGCTACTTTTATCCCACGGGGACCCGAGCCCAGTCGCTGGCAAGCTAATTAATAAAGTGTTAGCAGTTTTGTTATAAAAAAATATACGAAATGAACATAGCGGTGTGTCTCAGACACGCCGCACGTGGATATAATATTGTATTATGGCGAATGCCGCGCATCTTGGTCATCGTGTTTGGGTCAGTGCCAACATGTTTTGTATTGAGATCGATTCTAGAGACATAATTATATCGATTTAAAGTAATAAGAGCGCCATCGGCAATAATTGTGTTCTGTTTTTAAATAAAACTACTTTATCATCAAGTTAGAAATACGTGTGGAACTGTGGACGTACAACACGTATTAATGTATGCGACTGGTATGGACATGTAAGTTGTGTCGCCGCAGGTATGCCGGTGCCGTACGGCGCGGGCGCGGCGTACCCGTACTACGCGGCGCCCATGCCGGCCCTGTACAACCCGTACGCCACGCTGCCGTACCCGCACCACGCGCGCATGCCGCCGCCGCAGGCGTACGCGGCGTACCAGTACCCGGCGCCCGCGCCCGGCGCCCCGTACGGGCAGCCCCCGCCCGCCGGGTACAACCCCTATCCGCAGCAGTAGGCGCGCCCGATGGCTTGCTTTGTAACGGTTATCATAATATATTATAGTAAAAATATGCGCATTTAACGAATTTTCGAAAAGGTATGTGATGCCCAGAGGAAATAAATGATAGAACATGTATTAAGATGAAATCTCTGTCGACATAATATAAGAGTAAGACGTAGTAGTTGTAGCCTGAGAGCTCGCGTGCGCCGGCATGTTGCAGACCGACATGGTTCAGTATACGTATGACACGCGCCGCTTACTAGATGAGGATACATCTCACTGCACTGTTATAACAATCTCGTTTGTAAGTATGTAAAAAAAATATATTTGTTAATTCTTGAGAAATAAAGTTAGAAGTAATTTTTTAATAGCATTTTTTATTATTTATATATAGTGGCCAAAAGTTTGGAAGTATACCTCCTATTTATTGCCTGTGCGATCATAATTATTGCGTATAAATAAAATCACAATACGAGTTTGGTGCTTTACAGTTTATAGTTGTTCAACAATGAAATGATGCATTAAATTATTATTTCACATTATGTTTTAAGTGAGTTGTGTGTTTTATTCTTCATCTTTCTTTTGTACATTTAATAGTCTGATCAAAATAAATATACTCGGAATTTTAATTCTATTCCAGATTTGACAATTTCAGGGTAGCAACGTTATGACGAGTACTAAATAGTGACGTTGCGAAATTATTCGATATGGAAATGCAATATTTCTGGATCGATTCTTCTCGTTTATAATTTTACTCTCGTAAACTAAGTATATCCGGAAATTAAATATTTCTGAACCAATAATTTAGTTTTGACGATTAATTAACGTCTGAGACTTTTCTTTTATAATTGTGTGTGAAATAAATAAAAAAATGTAACCATGAAGGAACATGACAAATAAAACAGACAGATGTATTATGGTAATAAGTTATTTTATAAATTTTCGTCGTCATCGCTATCGCTATCCTGTCCCTTTCCGTAACATTTATTATAAAACACACACACTGATTGTTTATCGATTTTTGTGTTCATCACTACACTATTATATGTGGTATCATTATTTCACAAAATGACAGTAGCTATTGTCAAATCTGGAATCTAATTAAAATTCTGACTATAGTAATCTGCTCTCTGATGATTATTTTGTTTCCTGTCTTATGTCAGAAAGGTCATAAGTATGGTACTTCGATTAACTACAAAACTAAATAAGAACCATAGAATAGAAAAAAATCTAGGGGCAGTGTCATCCAACACGATTACTGCGGGAACCAAACCACTATCGCCGAACTCGGACAAATGAAACGAGAATCATACATTGCACTACAAATAAATAAATGTTTTGAATCGTCGCTTAAATTTTAGTCAAAACCAGCTTTAGTCGCACGTCTTCCATCCGGAAATAATCCACGAATTATGTAGGATTTGTTCATTTATTTTGTTTGAAGTATAAGTGGATTTAATTGACAAGTAAATTCTGCTACCCGGCCATAGATGGCAGTGTTCAACGTTCATGGTCGTAGGTAGACGCCTAGCTTTTGTGTCCTAGTTGAATAGATTTTCCTGACCGACGCAATTACCATACTTGAGGAGAGATGTAGTTATGGTAAGCAACCAATTATTATTGACCTTTTGAAATAAATAACAGAACGATCCTTTTGAGTGCTCGCATTCGTTGCAACTGTAATTAATAATTTACGAATGACCATAATTCATGGGAAAACAGATGTAATGTCACTCGGCAAAACAACAACTTTACAGGTATTTTATGCATTTATCGTTATTTTATGCAAAATACATATTTTGCAACGTTTTAATACAATATGTACATATTTTGAATAAAGTATCAATTACCCTATTGTCTCAGACATCCGCTATTTCAAGAGTAAAGTGGGTAAAAGAAAGAAAGTAAAAACATTTATTCAGCACCAGGCGCGATGCAGCACAAGTAAAATGTAAAAATTACAATAAAGCTGTGACAGTGGAAGTAAGAAAAACATTAAGTTAAATAAAAAAAACCGACTTCAAAAGAAAAACAAACGAAAAGTAAAAACTAAAAAGCAAAAAATAACTATTATTGGTCATACGTACGTATAGCTTACACACCCACTGATAGGTTAGAAGTCGGTGCCACAAACCCATAACAAAATATACGTTTCGTATGGAGTTTAGAACTCCATACCGAATATTCCATACCCAATCCACATAAAGTATTTAATACCGATGCGATATTTGTAACAGGCCAGCGACCGTGAGTCCATATCGAATAAAATATTAGGACTAGGTAAATGGATTAGGTATTTTTAAATACTAGGATTAGGTGGATTAGGTATCGGTTTCACCTAATCCGCCCCATGTCTAAACCACACCCCACACCTAGGTGTAAAGCTCTCATCAATACAAATTAATCAAACCCAAACACAAGATAACTACTGTTAACCGTTGAGGAGTTCCCTCGACTGCCTATCGACTCCATCATCAGATCAGCTCCAGACCATTATCAGATTGTAGTAGTTTTAAATACTTAACGAAAAAATTTACAAATGCACTAGACTCCCCTATAATTTTTAAAAGTTCCCCTCGGTTTCCCTGGGATTCCATCATCAGATCCTGACTTCATGACAATGGGACCAAATGACAAACCTACCCATTCAAACAAAAAAATAATTTTTGAAATCGGTCCAGGCGTCTTCGAGTAATCGAGTAACAAACATAAAAAAACAGCTTACAGTCGAATTCTAAACCTCCTCCTTTTTTTTGAAGTCGGATGAAAATTAAAACAGAAGTATCAGAAAAGAGACGCTGACAACATGCATACTAAGTGGGTTACCCACTCAGTGTAAGCCACGATATACCACGGCATACGAGTCACCCAGCACTTATTTTCAGAGGGCACCCCTGCAGTGAGGCACGGATGGTAGCAACGTGTTCTGGTTAGACAAAGACAAGCAAAGATGGAATACTTGTTAACAATAGAATAAATATAAAAGGTAATATAAAAAAATAATAAGAAAAGAAAAATGTAAATAAATAAAACACATGGCAGAATGCAGGGCATAGGGAAAGGAGAGTCAGTATCTATGTTTTGCATTATTAATCTTTAGAGCCTTTTGCCAGTCCTTTTACACATGCGCTCTGTGGGTCGGCTATACGAAGGGGGCATACAGCGCCTTGCGTGTTCAATACAACAATGCGTTCAGAATGTTGAATGGACTGCCACGTTTTTGTAGTGCATCAGCCATGTTTGCAGAGGCCAGAGTTGATGGGTTCCATGCAATCATACGCAAACGTTGCGCGTCCCTCCTCAGTAGAATGCGTGGCAGTTCACACAGCATCTTGAGCGTATTGTGTGATAAATGGGATAGTCCAATGTTGGGCCATTGGATTAGACTGCACGCGGCTGTAAAGTAGAATTAGTTTTGTTTATTTATATTATATTAAATTACTAACAATAGGTTAAGCTCATTGTTACTAACAGTTTATGGACTCTA